AAAAAATATGAAAGTCAATAAATTAATCATTATATTTATAACTATAATAAAAGAAAACGATATATGCATGAACTGACATTGTAATATTTCAACATTAATTTGATTTTTTTCTAAAAAAATTATCGTCACCGTGCAACGCACGGTGCACAAAACTAGTTTATTATAGATAAAAAAGTTGCATGTTGCAAAAACTTCACATGCTCCATTCACTTTTGGCTTGTTTATGAATTTTCCTATAGAAATTGTTGAGGCTAGACCATCCTATCCACATAAAAGAATGTATTAGTAAAATGTGCATGTCTATTTTATCCTTTTGATTTTCTTTTTCACTAAACTATTTGTAACTTGTAAGGGTTTTACTGAAAGATTGAATGTTTAAATATAATTTTTTTTATATTTTTTGATAAATAGTTGCATTCATTTTTAGTTTTAGGCTTATTAAAAAATTTGGCATCCCGTAGTATTGCATGCACACACAACTAATTTAAAAAAAAACCATGCGAATGAAATTATGGTTATTATTTATTTGAAATATTTATTAATTGTGTGGAAATTAAGTATTGCAATTTGAAGAGGAAGCTGGTTGGAAGTTTGCAATATAATTGATGTTGACGAAGACACGGTTTTGAACAGCCGACATCATAAACAATCCCATTTCTTCCCTCTTCTTCACACCATTCAAACCATAGAAAAGAAATCCAATTGTTTCAATGAACAACGATGGTGGCCAACCTTACCAGAGAGACGACGACTACAACGCCGAAGACGGCCAGAGACTAGGGATGAGGAACTGCGGTGCATCGCCCCCGGTTACTTTGCTCCTCAGTCCTTCTTTCCAACATGCTTCTCATGAACCCTCCAGTTTCTCTACTACAAGTACTCTCTCTCTCTCTCTCTCTCTCTCTCTCTCTCTCTTCCTCCCCGTTTCTCCCTACTTATCTGTGTTTATTGTTTATTGAAGGTACCGAAGATGAAGACCTAGAAAAGAGCCGTAAAATGAAGAAACATCAAGGAAGAAAAACCAACAGTTTCGCCTACAGAGTTCGAGATCATGGTGAGATTTTACTCATTTAGATTGTTTCCATTCCTAATTTGATTTTCCGAAACACCTTTTTCTCTAATTAAAACACACACACATGTGTGTGTGTGTGTGTGTGTTGATTTTACTGTTGAATCGCCGTTCTAAGAATGATTTCCGAAGAAGTTAACCACAAGGAGAGTGATTCCGCTGTTTAATTGAACGTAATATTCATGATTTGGCTTCTCAGTTTTTAGGAAAAATAAACTAGTAGATTTCCAGATCTGTGAGTGATTGAGATATGATTAATTGGTTTGCAGTGAGAATGGGGCCAAAATTATCAGAAATAGTGAAGGGGAAACTGAAATTGGGGGCGAAAATCATACAAAAAGGAGGAAGGGAAAATATATTCAAGGAAGTATTTGGGGAAATGGATGGAGAGAAGCTGTTGAAAGCTTCTCAGTGTTATTTATCAACGACAGCAGGTCCAATTGCAGGAGTACTGTTTATCTCCACTCAAAAGGTTGCTTTCTGCAGCGACAGATCCATCACATTGCCTTCACCCAATGGTCACCTCATTCGAAAGCCTTACAAGGTAACTTCGAGCATTTCCATCAATAATGATTGCTTTATCAAGTAACCTTCATCGGAATGAATTGTTGTAACTACTTACCGGATAAAACTCTTGATCTTTGTTATGTTCACCCGGTAAGGTAATTGAACCGGTAAACGGCCCCTTAGTTTATAAGTGAGAAACTTGTTCCACACATGGGCCACATGGAAAGTAAACTTAATTAATAAACACCAACACTTGAGTATTAAATGAATCATGTAATAGCTTAGATGTATCAAGAAGAACCTATTATGAAACACTCACACTCCAAGGCCCAAGCTATTAAATTATTCATTTTACCCTCAAGAGTTGGTGTTCGTTAATTGGGTTTAGTTTCCCTGTGTGGGACAAGTTTTAATGAAGGTAAGTGTTTACGGGTTCAATTAACTTACCAATAAACATAACAAGGACCAAGAATCTTACGCAATAAGAAGGAAGATGATGATCAAAAGCCTTACACGGTAAGTGAGGATGGTGACTCTTACTAAGAATGTTATCCATGAGAGTAACGACTTTTGCGGATAAGCATTTAGTACATATAAAGTATTGAATGGTTTTGGTGGTTGTAGGTAGTGATCCCAACAAACAAGATTAAAGAAGCGAAGGAGAGTGAGAACGTGGAGAAGCCTACACAAAAGTACATACAAATGGTGACGGATGATAACTTTGAATTCTGGTTTATGGGGTTTGTACGTTACGAGAAAGCTCTCTATAATCTTAGGAAGGCCCTTTCTTTTGTTCAAAACTAGCCTTTTTTATGTTTATTTTTATTTTTATTTTTAGTCACGATAGATGCATGTTGTACAAATTTGTGTTAGCCTTGTTTGGAATCTAAATTTGGACTCAAGTATTTTATTCATTCAAATGTGGTTTTCTTACACACTATTTACCAGTTACATTGGTTATTTAGTCATTTTTATAGGTCAGAAATATCTTTTTCGAATTTTTCTATTTTAAAATATATTCTTTAAAGTAATATATATGTATGTATATATGTGTGGAGGAGCGATCAAATGAAAACCACTTCCATTTATGTAAACCGTGTAAACCAATTTCATCCATCCATTTTCTTGATCGATGGTCAAAATTAGTTTAGTTTATTTTAGAAAATTAAAATAAAAAATATTAAAAATTTATTTTTATATCAGCAATAAGGGCAAAATTGTAAACAAAATACATATTCACTAACATCCCAATTAATGAAACTAATTTATTTTGTAAAGTAATATATTATTTTTATATTAACATTTTTTAAAATAACATCCATAAATAAAATATATCAAAAATATAAATAAAACACACGATAGTCAATTCTATATAATGAATCGTTTCAATAGAAATAAACAAAAAAATCGAATTACATTATATGAACGAAATGGTTTCAAAATTTCATCAACAAACTAATCAACGTAATACTGCTCATATTTCGTAATTTTCATTTTACTGGTAGATGGATCTGTTATATTTAGATAATGAAAAATTTTCATTGTTTACTAAGTTCATAAAATTTTATGATAAAACATGAAACAGTTTCATTGTCTTCATTGTTTACTGAGTTCATAAAATTTTATGATAAAACATGAAATTTTAATCATGGTTTGATGAGTTATTTGTTATTTTATGATATTGATAATGAACTTTATTTACTTTTCACTAATGCATCAGGCTTTTTATTCATTATTTTGAAATTATTTCAATGTCCTTCACACAACTAGGGGTGTAAATGATACGAGACAACTCGCGAGCTACTCGAGATCGACTCGGTCAACACTCGACTCGAATAGGCTCGGCTCGAACTCGAGCTCGTCTCGATATATTAACGAGTCGAGTCAAGCTACACAGTACTCGACTCGAAAAGCTCGTGAGATACTCGATTATTTTATATATAATTAGTTTTAAAATATAATCAGTTTTTATGATAAAATTTGTAAAATATAAATAATAAAAATGTCTTACATTTTTAAATATTTAAACAAAATTATGCATTTTTTAATTATAAAACAAATCAATTATTATTTTTATTAAAATCAAAATTAAAAAAAAAAGACAAAGAAAAACTATAAAAAAAAGTTAGTGAAATTGTCCCACATTGGAAGAAAGATGGTAAAAGAAGGGAGAAAAAATTTTATAAAAAGATAGGGAGGTGAATGTAATTTCTAACTTTGTCTTTTTGATGATGAAGTTTGAAGTTGATCATTTAGTTTTGAAACTAAAAGAACACATTTAAGTTTTAAAATTTATAAGAGAAAAATTCTAAAATTTCATAAATTTGAATGGGTGAGCTTGGTTCGAGTTTGATTCGAGTTCGAGCTTGAGTTTGAGCTTGATTCGAGTTCGAGTTCGAGCTTGATTCGAGTTCGAGTTCGAGCTTGAGAAATAGTTATCGAGTTCGAGTTGAGCTTTGATTTTTACTACTCGCGAGTTTTCGAGTCGAGTTCGAGCTTGGAAATTCGGTTTCGAGTTCGAGTCGAGCTTTGATTTTTACTACTCGCGAGTTTTCGAGTCGAGTTCGAGCTTGGAAATTCGGTTTCGAGTTCGAGTCGAGTATAGTGATACTCGAGCTTGACTCGCATCATTTACACCCCTACACACAACCATGTAAATATGCACCATATTCATTATGCAATTATTTCAAGACGCATCGGCTTCATCATGTACCCGTTCCATCATGCAATTATTTCATGACGAACCGCCTACATTATGCACCCGTTTCATTTTCCATTTCACCTACTAAATGGATCAACTATATCATCACTGAAACGAGGTTCACCATGAAACCAGTTCACTACTCATTGTTCAATTACGCCATGAACCAGTTTCACCTTCATGAAACCTGTTTCATTTACATTAATTTTTTTATTTCACTCCTGATTTGATGAACTCATTCCTTTAAGCTTTTACAATCTTCAAGATTCTGGAGCAGATTACAATCTTCAAGATTTTGGAGCAGATTCTCACGTACCCATTTCATCATGCAATTATTTCATGACGAACCAAATACATTATGCACCCGTTTCATTTTTCATTCAACCAACTAAATGGATCAACTACACCATCACTGAAACGGGATTCACCATGAAACCAGTTCACTACTCATTGTTCAATTACGACATGAACCAGTTTCATTTTCATGAAACCTGTTTCATTTACATTAATTTTTTTATTTCAATCCTGATTTGATGAATTCATTCCATTATGCCTTACAATCTTCAAGATTCTGGAGCAGATTCAATCGCAACACAATATATCAAGTTCAAATTTTTAATATTATAATATAATTAAATATTTAAATGTTATCATTTATAAAATTTTCTTTATTACGTTTTCTTAATTAAGATTTATTAATAACTTCCATATTTAATAGAAAATACTGTAAATGACCGAAATACCCTTATTAATTAAATTTAATTAGAAAAAAATGAAAAATTTTTATTGATCGAAATTAGTTTACACGGTTTCTTAGAAATGCACGGTTTTCATTTGAACGTACCTCTATATGTGTGTGTGTGTATATATATATGTGTGTGTGTGTGTGTGTGCATATATATATATATATATATATATATATATGTATAAGGGCCGTTTACCTAAACACTTATCCGGTAAGAGCTTAACGGTAAATTTCAACTCTATCTCTTACTTATCGGGTAAGATTTTAGTCTACCAAAACGACATTGTATCTAAAAATTTACTGGGTAAGCTCTAACCGTGGTAAGAGTCGTCGCCATCACTTACCGGGTAAGACTCTCGCTTCGTGCCTTCGCTCTTACCTGATAAGATTCTTGGTCTTTGCCATATTCATCCAGTAAGAGAATATGACTTGATAAGCGCTTACCCAAATAAGCATTTGGTAAACGGCCCCTAAGTAATGTAATTTGCCCAATTGCATGACATACTCTTTCAATAAAATGTGAATATATTGATAAATATATGACCTTTTGTGAAAGATTCTACATGAAAGATTAAAACAATATAGCATTCTTATAAAATAAAATGGAAAATTGCACCAAAATAAAATTAATTTTCATTTAATTCTTATTTTAGGGAAACAACTTTTAAAATCGTTATTTTGGGGAACCAACTTGCAAAATAATTATAGGAAAATAACTAAAATTCATTTTTTTCCCAAAAATTAATGCAATAAAATCTATTTTTCATTTCAAATCTCGTTTTTTTTTTTAAATTCAGATATCAAATGAACATTTTAAAAAAAATCCAAATTACCACAATAAAAATTGTTTTTTACTAATGCAAAAAAAATCAATTTAATAGAAAAAAATTAATTGATGCAATAAAAAATAAATATCAGGGAAAATTGCACCAAAATGGAACCAACTTTCACCTGATGCCTATTTTGGGAAACCAACTTTCAAAATCGTCATTTAGGGGTCTCTATCAAACTTTTTATTTATTTAAGGGTCTGGTTGATCTGTTGAACAGGTAACAGGTAATTTAAGGGTCTCTATCAAATTTTTGGTTTGATTTGCCAAATTTGATTTAAACTTTAATATTGATACGGAATTGTTAGATATAAAAATCTTGAATGTGATATTTAATATTTATTTTTTATTGCATCAATTAATTTTTTTCTATTAAATTAATTTTTTTTCATTAGTAAAAACAATTTTTATTGTGGTAGTTTGTATTTTTTTTAAATGTTCAATTTGATATCTGAATTAAAAAAACGAGATTTGAAATAAAAAATAGATTTTATTACCTTAATTTTTGGAAAAAAACAAATATAGTTATTTTTTATAATTATTTTGCAAGTTGGTTCCCTAAAATAAGAATCAGGTGCAAGTTGGTTCCCCAAAATGACGATTTTGAAAGTTGGTTCTCGAAAATGACGATTTTGAAAGTTGGTTCATCAAAATAGGAATTAGGTGCAAGTTGGTTCCCCAAAATAGGAATTAGGTGAAAGTTGATTCCATTTTGGTGCAATAATATAACAAAATCAAAGAATAATATTACATCATTTTAGTATTTTACACTTTTTATGAGATAATTTTTTTAAGAGTAAATTACGGATTTAGTTCTTATAGTTTGTGGCTTCTCATCTAGACTTCATTTAATACATATAACACCAACTGGTATGCGTTTTTCACACGTTTGGTCTCTAGAACAAAAAGGCGTCCAACATGTCCGTTAAATTTGAGAGAAAAATTATCTTTTTAATTTTCCAGCATTTTAACATGTTTTTTATTAACAATTTTTCAAATTAGGGTTAAATTGCAGGAACCAAAACTTGGACTATCAAAGAAGAAGATAATCTTCTTCTCCAATTGGCCAACTGTCCCTCAACTATATACCGTCGACTTCACCCCCATTCTCTAGTGTTATCCCCAATGTTCATCGTTGCTACTCCAACCCCTTACTATACCGACACCTCCCCCACCAACACCACGATCAGCCACCCTCCATCAACGGGGAGCAAAAACACTAGTTTACTCTCTACGACTCCCCTCAAACATACACGACCTAGATACCCTGCACTCACACACTGCAACGATCTCACACACACAACACATCATATTATCAGGGAGGGAAGGCCAATGGGGGTAGAATAGAGTACGAGGTCATGACATCTATGTGTTTCTAAGAAGGAGAGGGAGGTCATGTTGTTTATGTGTTCACCTGATGGAGGAGGTTGACGTCAGTAGCCGTCTATGTATGTGCGTGTTGCGGGTGTTATGGATGTTATATGTGTATGTTTCACCGAATGTGAAGACGACAAAGATGGAAGATGCTATTAGTTAGGATGTCGTTGCCAGTGGAGAAGTCGACCTTTTTTATATCTATTACATACACGTGTAACAGCAATTATAATTTTAAAATTTTAGTGATATATATTACATAATATATAATAATTTATTTATATTTTATTA